CATCTTAATCACATATAAAAACAGAATACTGAAATCTAGGAGTCTTAACTTCTCTAGCTCATAAAGTCATCCTAGGATGTATCCAGGAATGCAGTTTGCCTAAGAGAGAGCAAAACAGGGCCTTCCACGACCCCGAGGACCTGCCTGGCATGAACATTAGTGGACAGATGCAGGCTGAATATTCCTTATCTGCCATTTTGAGTTTTAAAGGGGGTTTGAAATATTTGCATATATACAATGAGATGTCTTGGGAACGGAACCCAAATCGAAACATGAAATTCATTTATGTTTCATATACACTTTATGAACAGCCTAAAGGCAATTTTACAAAATGTTTTTATAATTTTGGGCACAAATCAACACTTCGTCCTACTGAACTTGCCATACCATTGCTCAAAAACTTTCAGATTTTAGAATATTTCAGATTTTGGAGTTTTGGATTACGGCTGTTCAACCTGTACTATATGCCAGGAACTGAGCTTCAGAAATACAGAGAAAAACAGCACAGAGAATTCTGGGGACTCGTTCATGGATGGCTGGATTTCAAGGATAAAGTACTAATGCTTTCTGGAGGAGGAGGCTTTGTTCTTCATTTTGTAAAGAAACACAGCTCGCAGGGTCACTACTTTCCTAAACTGGAGATACCAAATGGGACAGAATGCTGACATTCGGTGTCTATATCACAGTGAAAACACAACAGGTAATATGCTGTTGTAGTCCTGTTACGAAGGATGCAGGGTGTTTGACGCCAGAGTGGCTTCAGCGGGCTGTGCTTCTGGCTCTTGCTTCTGCATCTTGGCATCTTTCTGCCTCCTGGTTCTTATCTCTGGTCACATCTCTGTTGTTACCACACCCTACAGGGGACCCTCCTCTGTTACTCTGTTGCTGTACATGAAGTTTTAACAGAAACCATTAGAATGTATATGTGAATTCCATGTGACTGCTGAGGGACTTCTGTGAAGATAAGTGAAAGAGTTCAACAACTCGTGATATTTGATGCTGGCTGTGTTTGAGGTTTTCTTGGCTAATGTTGGGTTCCTGTGTGTGCCTTGATAAAAAGCTGCTAGATGAGAAACTACACTAACCAAAACTTGGAAGCTGGCAGAACTATCTGATATTTCTGTCCTCCCTACCAAGACTGACAGGCAGGAAAGACTAAATAAACATTTTGTATTCTGACTCAACAGAAATACCAGGATGCAGTTGGTAAATTCAGTAGCACCAAGAAAAAAACCTACCTCTCAGATTTTGTTCTGGGGATCAGGGAACCATCCTCATCTTGACAGACCAGATGACTTTAGAGAGGAATGTCAGGGTCAGATGGCACTGGATGGAATCATAACTACTAAACAGCTGTGCGACTGGACAAATAATTTAACCTCTTTGCAGTTGTTTTCTCCTCTGTAAAATGAGGATGATGGTCTTTGCAGGACTGTCACAGGGGTTAACAGTATGATGCACATGAAGCACCCTCTCCCCCGAAGATTCAGTGCATGGTAACAGCTACAGCTATTACTAGAGATCCCTTACCTGAAATGCCTGGGACTGACTAGGAGTGTTTCAGATTTCAAATTTTTTTTTGGATTCTGGAATGTTTGGTAGATGATGGTATCCAAGCCTAACCATGGAATTCATTTATGTTTCATTTTCCCATTTAAACACATAACCTGAACGTAATTTTATGCAATATTTTTAGTGCACCTACATTTTGACTTGATCCACTCATAATATGAGACAAAGTGTGAAATTTTCCACTTGTGACATGCAAAAGTTTTTGGATTTTCAACTTTCAGGTTTTTGGTTTAGAGATACTCTACCTGTATTACCATTAGGACAATGACATGGCTACTCCACCGTGTGTAAGCAGCCTTCGTAATACCTGCCATAATTCTGAGCCCCACTTTCTTATCTGTAAGGTAACTATCTTCAAATAAGTACTTCAGAGCATTCCAAGGAATACATGTGATGGCACATGTAAAAGACGTGACCGAGACAGATGGTCAAAAATGTTAGCTTTTTCTCAATCTTGTCCTTAGATAAGAAATGACCAATAGGATATAGGTCAATGAACAGGAAACTGCCTGGCCTTATTTCATACACTACATTAAGTTAATGCATGACTCTAAAGAGTAATAAAGCCACTCAGTTCTCTTTAAGAAACTGCTGTGAATCTATCTGAAGAATCTTAGACAAAACCTGCATGTCTCAGAGTGACAGCATGCTTCTTTGAGTCTGCTTTAGACACTAAAGATCATTCCTAATCCTAACTGCATCTATGAATTAATGTGCAAAACTCCCATGTTTAATGGTGGCCCTTTAAAACCAACCCCCCACCCTGAGAAATTATTTTGAATAAAATCTATTTTAAGTTCACATCTAAGGACACAGACAAGCTGGATGCATTGGCACATGCTTGTGATTCCAGCTACTCGTGAGGCTCAGGTAGAGGGATCAGAAGTTCAAGGCCAGCATGGTTGGCTCGAAGAGATCATATCAAAATAAAATTTAACAAACAAGGCTGGAGGGTGGACAGGGCATCTGCCTAGCACATGCAAGGCTCAGTATTTAGTCCCAAGCACTAAAGAGAGAGGACTAAGAAAGAGGGAAGAGGCCACAGAGAGACGAGCCTGTTAATTACTCTCTTCTCAGCTGTTTCAATGTCTTTAAGAAGTCTTCCACACTTTATGCCAATTATATTAATTGTAATTCTGTATGCCTACAGAATAACCTTCTAAATGCTGACTTGCTGAAGTGGTGAACAGGAAAAGAGCCAACAGTGAGTTCAAACAGCCAAAGGAAGTAGAAAGTCTAGACCTGACGTTTTAATAACTTAACAGGGAGACAATGAAATGAGGAAAACAGCCAAGCAGGCCGCAGGAGAGGAGCTGAGAGCCGAGGAGACAGGAGGGGGAGGAATGCCAGGCAAGGGAGGGACACCTGGCATTCCAGGTCAGAGGAGCAGGCAGGGGCGGGTCACACAGAGGGTCAGGAGAGGCTGAGAGCAGAAGCTGTACCTGTGCCCCTGCGTTTAGGGTCACAGCTCTACAGTTTTGCACCTCCTCCTTCTAACCCAGTCCTCGGGAGGCCAGCATCACCCTTTCCAGTGCAGACAGACTGGAACTACCTGTGCAGCTCCACATCCTCTATCGGCTGGTGTTCTCTCCTCTTTACAGCCATTTTTTTCTGAAGAGGATTCATTTTTACTTACTAAATATCAACCAAGTACAGAATGTATGGCAGTACTCTATACACCAGATAGTAAGACACATCACCACCATTTCTCAAAGGCTGGCGTACTTATTCCTTACTTTGTATTTCCACTTGTCTCTCATATTACAGCTTCCGATCTCTTTACTTCGTTGAAACACATTTTGCTAAAGTTATGAATGACCTGTACATTACTCGTGCAGCAGGCATTGTTCAGCCTCCTCTCACCTTGCTCCCTCTCCACCACCACTAAGTGCTGCCCTGGAAACCCGCCCATAGCTTCGGATGCCACAGCCTTCTGATCCAATGAGCTCCTCTTTGGCACTGTCCTCTGAGCTACTTTAATGGGTCATTTTCCTCCATCTATCATTGGACTTGATGTTCGTCCATGAGCATCACTAGCTTCATTCTCTTTTTTACCTGCTTCTTTCTCCCAAGGTGACTCATCTTGGTCCACAAGTGTTGATGGTCAACCAGCTGCTGACCCACAAATGTGTATCTCCAACTGTGCCTTGACATCTCCAGCTGTGACCCTCGACATACAACTTCTGACCCAGTTGCTATTTCCACTTGGGTGGCTCCAAAGCACGTCAAACTCAACAGGTTCTTCTCATGATCTCTCTTGGCTGCCAGAATTAGTGTCATTATCCTTTATCTTGCGTGGAAACTCAAAATGCTAGAGGCATCCCTGACAACTGATGACTAAAACCGGGGCCTTTACTTAAGAATCTTGGGATTATGTGCTCCTCTTTCCAGGCCTCCAGATACCACCGTAGTTGGAGTTCACATCATCTTTCCTTTGACCACTGCAATGACCTTCAACTGACTGTCTTATTCTCCAGGCCTTTTTATTATGATAGAGCTAGACTCACCCTTTAAACAAGAGCAAGTAGAATGGTGTCATCCTCTGTTTTAACCATACAGAAGTTTTCTACTGCCCAGTTTTCAACAGCACCTATCTGACCTGAAAATGATGATGCCCTGCAGACGTATTTCACACGGCTCTTTCAAAACTCCCTGGTCTGGCTACAGGGCGTTTAACAGGTGCCATTCTTTCTGAAATATTTCTTCCTCAAGGTCCAGTTTCCTTAATAACTCAAAAGTTATTTCTTCAGAAAATCCTTTGATCCCTTGGGGTAGTGGTTCTCAAGCCTAAGCAAGTGTGTGTTGCAATCTCTCGGGGACACACTAAACACAGATGCAGGCTTCCACACCCCAAAATTTCTAATCAGTGGGCTGGTTGCGGGAGACTGACAATTTTTGCTTCTAAGAAGTTCAGGACGGTTGATGAGCATGCTGGTCTGGAGACAGCCCTTTGAGGACCAGTCCTGCACCTTCTATGCCTTTATAGACCTACATGCATTTCTGTCAAACTCTTTCATGATGACATTCCACATGGTTTAGTGTAATTGCTTGACTAACTCATCTTTCTTTTCCAATAGACCATAAACTTCAGGATAGCAAGGACCATTGTATGGCATGAAGTAGATCCTTTAACCATCTAGTAAATGGATAGAAGTGAATAATTGCAAGGATCACAGAGGAAAACACAGTTTTAAAACCTCAACTTACTACTGTGCAAACCCAAAGAGCCTTTAGATCCAAATGTTTCAAGAGCTCAGTTCCCAAAGAAGTCAGATCATGACATGACCCCTAAAATCCTGAGACTGTGTCATCTCAATCCACTCTTACCCTGGGGAATGACCACCCTAGCTACTAGGACATGCCAGGAAGACACAGGCTGATGACAAGTGGATCCTACTGTCAGAATCTGGGACTCATCCAGACAATAGGAGGCTTCATAAAACATGTTTATTAAAAATAGTTGATGAAGGGGGCTGGAGATTTAGCTCAGCGGCATAAGCACCTGCCTTGCAAGCAGGCAGCATGAGTTTGATCCCTGGTACCAATAAAAAAAAATATTTGATGATAAGAGAAATCAGGGAAGCTGTTGAGAAAAGAGGTTAGGACAGTCCAGAGAGCTAGCCTTTATAAGGACAACATAACCTTGGACATTAAACTTTATTTTTCACTTAGACAAATGAAAGAGATGAAAGCAAAAAGGAATGGGTCCCTGAGAGAGGAGCAGAAAGGTTAGAAGACAGGAGACTGTAAAAGCAGAGCACTAAGCTCACTGAAAGATCAGCACAAAAAGGTGAAAGGCAAGACAATTTTCTGGTAGTATTCCTTGGTAGCCCCTCCAGTGAAGGAGAAAAGGGAATGGAAAGAGATGCCAGAAGGGAGGACAGAAAGGTGCCATTAAAATGCAGGTATTATTAGCAAAGCAGGTGATGCCGTCTACCCACATTAGAATAGCAGAAGCTTCCTTTCCAGGAAGGGACTCTGCAGTGTCAGCTGCTCCTGCACAGGGCAGAAGGTGGTGCGTAACCCAGGAGGCTGCAGGTCATCTTGAGGCAGCTGATGGCCGATGAGATGTCTCCTTCAGACTGTCCACCCGGATCCTGAAGAGGAAGCTCCAAGGCAGATGAGTGGCCTCCATCTTTCCTCCAGGGTGGTTCAGTTCCTCCAGCACCCCACTTGCCCGTCTCAGAGGGTGACTCCAAGTGTCAAATTTCAAGAATGTTCTGGTAGTCTCCAAGAAAGGCCAGTGCTTATGTGGTCAACCTGCAAACATGGCACAATTCAAGTCTGTCCTGGAATGGTGTCCAGAAAGAAATGAAAGGAGTAGAGACACTGATGACCTGACCAAGGAAAAGCCTATGTCTGGAGCAAAGCTCTTTCCGTCTGGGAGCGGGCAGGCTCACAACGGCACATATCTGTCTGGCAGAGGAAAATGGGAAATGTTTAACAGGAACTCTTTTCAATACATAGTCATCTGCTAGAGGCCTAAAGTCAGTGGAAAATAGTACTTTTAGGAAAATAAGAGAGAGGCAATGTGGGGTAATAGAAAGCAGATGGGATTTAGAGTTTCAAAAAGCTAGCTTTGGATTTCAGCTCTCACTTTTTAGCTATGGGATGCTGACTGATTTTCTCCATGAGTCTCAGTTTTATGGTCTGGAAAGATGAGTATAATAGCCTGTGTAGGGACTGTGTGACTAGAAGAGAAAATATTCTGGAATAACAGTAAGGAAGCCTCTAAGAAATGGCAGTCAAAATAACATCTTCCTCCCCCTTGGAGGCTAGTTTAAAAGGAGTTTTTTCTAGAACTAGAGAAGATGTTTCAGCTGTCCCTGCAATGACATACCTGACGCGGTGGTTACAAAGCCCATATGTATCAGTCTAAGTGGTGCTGATTTGGGCTCAGGCAAGTTCCTCAAAACCTCACAGATACACTCCCCCACTACTGGTTTTCTCACCATCACAAAATAAATTCACACACGCACACACACACACACACACACACAGGCAAATGGAAGTGTTACCTCCCCTTTCTCAGAAGCATTCAGAATCTTGGTCAGAACCTTGCCAAGTAGGCAGAGCGGTAGGAAGGCAGTGTGAGGACAGGCCATACACAGAACTACAGTAAGCTCAGCATTTATAAACCGTCAGCACAGCCCCATGAGGACTGTCTAGGCGATCCCCAGGATTAATGCTCATGAGAGTCCTAGGTGTCAGGAAGCAGTATCATCCTCCTGAGAACAGAAGACCTGGAGCTTAGAGTACATAAAAGTTACACGCACAGCCCTGATCGAGACTGAGGACTGGAGTCGCAGCTCTTTAGAAATGATGTTAACTCCTTCTTATGATATGTAGACACGCTCATTTGGTGATTTTCAACCAAACACCCCTAACTATAGGCCTTCTTCCAACTTGTGTCCCTGGAAGATTTCAGGGAGCAGCAAGCAGTTCACTAAAAGTACGTTCCATAGCTGTTACAAAGGTTCTAGTCAGGGTTTTCAACCTCAGGCTCAAAGACAGGTCACCACAAACTGGTGAACACACAAGGGCCCCACCAGGAGTGAGGCTCAGCGGGCATTCTGAGGAGTGGCTCTTTGACCTCCCATGTGTCCCTGACACATGCATGACTTGTCTTTTCCCTCCTCCAGGTCATCTTTAACAAAAGCAATCAGTGGTAGGGAGGGTAAGGACTGTGGCCCTGACAGAAATGGGGAGGTTTCTAGTGCATTCACAGAGGGAGGGAACTGGGTCACCAGGCACATGACGCTGGGCCCGTGGGAGACGTTTAGGGCCTGCCAAGAAGATCTCAGAGAATCACTTCTTTACATCTATTCTGAAAAGCCTATCCTGGAAAAAAAAAAAAGATCTGCCTGCGACACGATCTCCTCTCCCCTACCCCCACCCCTTCAGGCACAGTCCCCAGAGAGCACAGGAGGAGCACATGGTCTGTTAATTTACAGACATAAGGAACATCCCCGCCCAGAAGAGATCGGGCTGATCAGGATAGAAGGCTTTGTGGAAAGGCCTCAGCTCCACAGAGACAAGAGGACAGACTTCATTCCCTTTTTGAACGACAAAGAGGGTCCAGATAGGTGCTGCCTTTTGAGGATGAGAAAGTCAGAATATCCCCACAACATAGGGAGACACACCTTACACACACAAACACAGAAATATACACATACCCAGCCACACACATATACAAACACAGAAACCTACAAAGCGTACACAAACACACTGAGACACATGAACACATAGCAAAACACGGCACACACAGAAATGCATGCACAGCCCACTTCAGCCACTACAGCTGCTCTTTCATTTGTTTCTGAGATTTGAACATTCTTCAGTTTTAAAATGAAAAAAAAGGCTGAAAAAACCACTCATCTAGGCTTCTTAAAAACCATTCTTTTCTGATTTAAAAAGTACACGCAATGAAAATTAGCACAGTATAGAAAATTATGAAGAAAATAACAGCCGCTGGTTAATCCTATCCCCCTTAGTGGGTCCCCTTTAATAGGGAAGCCTGAATACCCAGGCTTAAGGAGCCACTAAAATTTTCATACTCTCAAATTAAGAAATGAATTGCAGGGTTAGCCAAAGAACAGAAATAAAAACGAAATTAGGGTACTATGCATGGCGGGGAAACAGCCCACGGAGGAACTGAGGCATGGCTGGTGTTTAAGATGTTTCCTTGGAGAATCAAAGGATGACAGAAATTATATGGTGGCTCCCTTGATCCCAGTGGAAACTATAAATGAGGCATAAACATAGAGTGGGGTCCTGCCATTCCACAAAGACAGTGTCTCTGACTGCTGCTCCCTGTCAAGGTAGAGTATCACAGCACGCACGCGCTGACTGTAAACAAGAAAATTGGCTGAATAGTGCATTAAGAAAAAGACCCACTTTCATCAAGTCCAGGAGTAATTCTGGTCAAAGAGGAAATCTGAAAGCACTGAAGAGTGAACATATGTAGGTAAGGGATAGCAAAGGTGAGGATGTAGACCTGTAAACCATAGTGTGTTAATGGGCAAACATGATCCTTGCTGTGATGAGAGAATCCTTCTCCGTACGGCTCTTACAGCTGAACGCCAAAGGGAAAGGAAAAAACCCCAGGCGCTGGGGCACAAACAGCAATGACAAGGTTCATTAATAGTCTGCGGAAGGGAAACATATCAAGTCGGCAAGTGTCTTGGAAAGATAGCAGTTGGCATATCTATGCGACAGTATCTTTGCGGGGAACAGTCTCAGACGGACATTCCATGTCACGCTTGTCTCTGAGTCTCAAGATAAGAACAAGCACTCTTCAGAAGCTATCGAGCTGTTTTCCAGAGAGGGTGGCTCTTGAAACCTGGAACAGAGAGCCAGAGTGCACTGCCTATCTGGAAAGAGGCCCCACTGCCTGCAGAACAGAACCTAAGGCTTTCTCCCCTTATGTTAGGGATCAAACCCAGGAATACTCTGCCATGGAGCTACACTTTTTAAATTTTTATTTTGAGACAAGATCTCACTAAATTTCCCAAGCTGGCCTTGCACTTGCAATCCTCCTGCCTCCTGAGTAGCTGGGATGATAAGTATGTACTAACACACTCGGGAAATGCTTTTATAAAAAGAGGAGCAAAAGAGGGCAATGTGTCCTAAGGGGGAACTTAAATTTCTTGGATTTCAATGTAGATCTAGATCCCAGGAGATCAAATAGAGACCAATCCAGCCAGTTCAACAGGCTCAAGTAAAACAAAATCCCAGACTAAGAGCTACGTATTTGACTGGAAAATAGTTTTAGTTTCCAAACAATCTACACAGTATTAATATAAACAAAGCTCGTTACCAAACAAGATAAGGACTTGAAATGTCTTGCTTGGACAATGCCATATCTCAAAAGAATACACTGTTCCCTCTGTTTTATAGCTCACAAAAAGTTTGTACAAAACAGGGTGTGTTAGGGTTGCTTTAAGGAAATGCAAGTGACATTTTATTTTTGATGTTCAACTTAAAGCATAAACTGTTATTCTCTGATTTTGGTCTTCATGTGGGTGCTTCTTTCTCTGTGTGGGGAAGATAATGATGCTTTATCACCTGGGGAAGCAGCATTATCTCGAGAACTGCTCTCACTTGCCCCTGCAGTGGAGAGGCAGGCCTACTGCTGCCTGATAGACCAAGACTGATGTAAGGATCATCAGTTAGATGGACAGGCTGGGAGAAGGAAGCACAAATAAATGCAAATCTAAGTATCCCATGGCACAAGTGACAGTCCTGCGGGGCCACCATTCTCCAGGAGGGCTAAGACAACAGAATATCTGTGGCTGGAGGTTTTAAGCTTGCTGTGGTCAGGACTTAGATTCCTAGACTCAGCGTCTGCATGATCTTTGAAGGACTTCTTAATCTCCATTTTCTTGACAAGAAAATCAATACTGAGAGAATAAACAACTTGTTCAAATTTACTTAGCTAACAAACAGCAAATCCAAGTTTTGGACTCACATCTGGCAGATTCTAAGTCTCTTTCCCGCTGGGGCCTTGATCTCCTTATCAGCCAGTTTTCAAAGTCCCTTGGCTAAGAGATCTTTTACAGCCATAGAGTAGCGTAGAAACCCACTCCCTTGGAGGAGGGTGCATTTAGATAACCTTACCAGAGTCCTTCATGGGGGTAATTATTAGCGGTTACAATCAAACATTTAAGCAAGAATCAAGGCAGGCCTGGCTAGACTCCAGGAGCTTGGAGCCTGGGGAAGCCACAGGAGGTCTCTCACTTCCGCCTGATTTCTCAGGCAGGGCTGGCATTTTCTGGGGGTTTGCATCGGGGTGATGGGGGCCTGGACTCTGTCTCTCGTTCTCCTCCCAATTCTGTTTCCTTCCTTTTCATAACCTTGTGCGCTTGTCAGCACTGCCGGAATGAAAGCTACGGGCAGGGAAGAGTGAAGGCCACAGGAAAGAAGCGAGAAGCAGTGGCCAGGAGGGCACTGACATGTGAGACTCCGAAATACGGGGACCTAGAGCCTTTTAAAAGGTTCGTCTGTTTTCCTCTGTAAAATGGAGTAAGGTGACCACTAAGTGAGCATATACTTCAGTGCCAAGTTAGCTTTCTATCAGCCCCAGTTCTTTCCTGGAATATAGCTAGAAAACACAGATAAAATGAGCATTTCTTACTACTCCCCTGACCTGAATATTTACTTAGCCTACCTGTACTATTTCTGAAAAGAACACTTTACTCAAGCAGTCACCAATTAGAAAAATGGGTTAATAGAGTAGGAAAGCAATTAGACTTTCACGA